GCCCCCCGCGCGCCCGCCCGCTGCCTCTGGGTGCGCTATGGCCACCAGGCGCGCGTGTGGGCCGTGCAGCTGCTGCACGACGGCCTGGTCAGCGCCGGCGAGGACTGCGCCTGCCTGCTGTGGAGCCCCGGCGGCGACGTCATCCGCAGCTTCCAGGGGCACCGGGGCCGCGGTGTCCGGGCCGTGGCCGTGCACGAGGAGCGGGGCTGGCTGGCCACGGGCGGGATGGATGCCGGGACACGGCTCTGGCACCTCCGCGGGGATGGGCTGCAGCAGCGGGACGTGGTCATGCCCCCTGGCAGCGGGGCCCCCCGGGCTGTGCAGTTCGTGGATCCCGACCAGTTGCTGGTGCTGGCGGACGTGGGCACCGTCCACGCCTGCGACGTGGCCTCTGGGCGCTGCAGCGTGGTGCTGGAGGACGGGCGCTTCCGCTCCTATGGGCTGCTGGAGGTGGCACGGCCACCGGGCCGAGCCGTGCTGGTTGCCATGGGCAGCCTGGGGGGGCTCGTCCGGGTCTTCCCCTTGGAGCAGGTGGCAGGTGGGGTGGAGCGGCAGCTCTTTGCAGGCAAGGTGCACAGCCTGAGCTGGGCCCTGCGCCCAGGCAGGGACCCTGGCACCTGTGTGCTCTTCGCCTCAGGCCCTGAGGGTGCCTTGCTCTGGCTGGAGGCCTGCTGCGGCCCTGGGGGCCAGGGCTTGGTGCTGATCCCCCGGGGACGCTACCTGCTGCCACCTTGCAAACACCGCTGGCACACCAGCGCTGCCTTCCTGCCCCAGGGCGGATTCTGGGTCTGTGGTGACCGCAGGGGCTCCCTGCTGCTGTTCCCCTGCTCCCCGGATCCTGCTGGAGGGGAGGGAGAGAGCGAGGAGCCCCCGGCTTGCAGAGATGCCCATGAGCGTGCTGGCGAGCCCCCCGCGCAGGGTCCCGTCTCCCTCCTTTTCGGGCTGCACGGGAAGGCGGGTGTGACCTCGGTGACCTGCCACGAGGGCCTGGTGTACAGCACGGGCAGGGATGGCTGCTTCTGGCAGCTGCGGGTGCGAGCCGGGCAGCTGGAGGAGCTGCGGCGCCAGAGGCCTGGCAAGGGGCTGGAGTGGGTGGAGGAGCTGCGCTTCACACCCGACGGCGACCTGCTGGTGCTGGGCTTCCACGCCGATAGCTTTGTGCTGTGGAGCACCCGTGCCGGCGCCCTGCTGCGCTGCCTGCCCTGCGGCGGGGGCCACCGCTCTTGGAGCTACCACCGCGGCATGGCCACCGACGCCTTCGCCTGGGTGCAGGCCAGGGCCGTGCACGTCTGCTGCGGCCAGGCAGGCTCCTCCGGGCTGCAGGTGCTGCGTGAGGCCCTGCACGGGCGGCAAGTCACGAGTGTGCGGCATGTGGGGGCCGTGCTTGGACCAGGCCACCGTCCCATGCATGTGCTCGTCACAGGCAGTGAGGACACCACAGCCATGGTCCTGGCCCTCGACACAGAGAATGGCATGGCCACGCCGCTCACCACGCTCAGCAACCACATCTCTAGCATCAGGGCCTTGGCCGTGGCTGCCGGGAGCCTGAGCCAGCCTGTGCCTGGGGAGCTGTCGGCCCTGCTGGTGTCGGCGGGGGGCCGGGCGCAGCTGGAGTGCTACCGGCTGCTGCTGAGTGCAGCCCCCACGGCCGCAGCTGGCATCAACTGCCAGGTGCTGCACGTGGCCTCCCACCGGCTGGACGAGCGCTGGGACCGCATGAGAAACAGGCACCGTGTCATCAAGATGGACCCCGAGACAAGGTGACGACCCCCCCCCTTCCCCTGTCAGGACCCAGATGAGCAGCTAGGGGCTCCTTGGGTGGGGCTGGCAGGGCTATGCTGCTCCTGTGCGTGGGGTAGGGGCCCTGGGTCCTGGTTCTGCAGATGGAGTGACAGTGCCACGTGCTCCAGGTACATGCGCATTGCGGTCGTGGCTGGCACGGAGCTGCCGCCACCTTGCCTTGTCCTGGCTGCTGCCTGCAGCGATGGATCTGTGCGGTGAGGCCCTGCGGGGGCTGGTTTTGGAAGGGGCTGTGGGGGGGCAGAGCTCCACTGGCACGAGGGCCCAGCTGGAAGTGCCCTTGGCTGGTTTGGCTGAAGGCAGGGAGCTAGGGGAGCCCCTGTCCCGGTGCTGACCCCATTGCGTTGCGGGCGCAGGCTGTTTGTGCTGCAGGAGGCTGCCCGGCGCCTGCAGCTGGTCGCTGAGTCCTTCCACCACCAGCGCTGCGTCCTCCAGGTGGAGGCCTTTGTGCACCGGCCGGCTGGCAGTGCCAGGTGAGCACCAGCCCCTCCTGCCTGGGTGGGTGAGGGGCAGGGACCCTGAGCAACAGCCGGGCATTGCCCTCAAGCCCCTGGCAAGGAGCAGCCCGGGGTCCAGGCATGGAGTCAGCAGGGGCTACCTAGGCTGCTGGAGCTGTATGGTGTGGAGCATCCTGTGTCCCCAACTACGCTCCCAGCCTGCCCGTGTCCCCAGGAAGCACTTCCTGTGCAGTGCCGCCACTGATGGCAACATTGCCTTCTGGGATATCACTGCCACCGTCGCTCAGGCCCTGGCAGCCCCGGAGCCAACGGATGAGGAGAGACAGCCCTGGGGTGAGCGATGCTCTGGCTACTAACCCCCCCCCCCGGTGTGAGCCCAGCACTGATGCCCCTCTGCCCTGCAGACCTGGGTGCCCCAGTGCTGACCGTCCTGGCGCACAGCTGCGGCGTGAACAGCCTCCACATCCTGGAGACACCCAGCAGGTGCTTCCTGGTGGCCAGCGGCAGTGATGATGGCTCCATCCATGTGTGTGTCGTGGCCGTGGGTGCAGCCACCACTCAACTCCTGCTGCAGGAGCAGCTGCAGCAGCCAAGCGCCCACGCGGCCCCTGTGACGGGGCTGCGGCTGTTGCAGCCTGACCTGCTGGCTTCTGCCTCTGTGGATCAGCGCCTTGTGCTGTGGCGCCTGGGCAAGGCAGGCCTTGCCTTCCTGGGTGCCAGGTTTTGCCCTGTGGCAGATGTGGCTGACCTGGACTGCTGGGAAGCCATGGGGCCAGGGGAGCAGCCAGGCTACTGCTGCACACTGGCTGGGCAGGGCCTGGAGGTCGTATGGTGCCAAGTCTGAGTGGGTAATAAAGGGCTGGTGACCTGTGGCCACGCTGGCACTCGTTCCTGCGAGGGGGGGCAGGGGTTGTGTCCATGCAGCTGCTGCAGGGAATGCTCAGCCCTCGAGCCCCATGCCTATTTTGTACCCAGCTGGCAGCTGCCTCTGCTGTGGCTGCTTCAGCGTTGCAGGCTGGGCTGGGCTGTGATGCTGCTGTAGACACAGCTCTCCAGACAAGCGAGGTGTGGGGCAGGTGCCCCACAGGCACTGGGAAAGCCAGCATTGCTGTCTGTGACCCAGGTGCTGGCACTACTGTGTCAGAGCTACTGCCTGACTGGGCTGTGCTAGGCACACAAGTGCAACCCTGCCCTGTGGGAGACACCAGAAGATAGAGATGGAGCTCCTGAGCTGGGCTCAGTGCCACATGGTCCATGAAAGGCTGCTGCTGTCACCACACAGGCTGCACAGCCGGTGGCTGGAAGTGCCTTTCCTGCTGTCCCTCAGCCCCACGGGCTCACAGGACATGCTCCCTTCCCTAGGCGGATGCCTCTGCTCTGGCGATTCCTGTGGGACAGAGCTGCCTAGCATGGCGCATGAGGAGTGCAGCAAGATGCCCTTGGTGGTTGCCCCCGTGCCCGGTTGCAGCTCAGAGTAGGGGGCAGCAGATGGAGGCTGTGGGGAGAGCACTGAGAACCCATACATGGGTGCTCATTACTACTGGAGGGCTACAAGGGCTGTAACTAGCTGCTACCTGGCACAAGGCCCTGAGATATCTTCTCTGCCCCACTGCAGGGGAGCAGCCCAGCTCTCACCGTGCCTAGTGGAGCCAGAACCTGGGAGGCAGCAATGCTGCACCCTGGGCCCAGCCAGAGCCCTCACTCAGTACCCTCCTGTCCTCGGTGCCTGCCCAGCACGATGGCCCTCCTGCACTCGCTGGCCCCATCAGCTTCTGCCCAGGCCTCAGAGAGCCAAGCCCTAGGGCCCAGGTGGCTGTGCTGTGGCAGAGGTGTGCACCCTTGGGGGTGCCACAGGGGCAGACTGCCCAAGGCAGAGCTGCCACCTGTCACCAGCTTTTACGTCAGCCGCAGCTTTACCTCCTTCCAGCCCCTGGCGTGCCCATGCTTGCTCCTCACCCGCCCGTTGCTGCAGCCACTGTGCTAGGGACCCGCAGCACCTGCCTGGGGTCACTCCCTCCCCCCACAGGAGGTCAGGGCAGGGGTCAAGCAGGCACGGGGCAGCTGCTGAGGGACAGGCTGTATTTGGCCCCAGGTGGGCAGAGGCACCAGGACCTCAGGAAAGCATGAGCATAAGTCTCCATATGAGGGTGGCTCCCTGGAGCGCCCCCCAGCCTGGCATGAGCTCCCATCTGCTCCAGACAGTTGGCATCCTTCTCAGGTGGAGCAGACCCCTCCACCTCCTCTGTCCAGTGTGCTCACCGGCACCCTGTACAGCCTCTGACTGCTGAGGGTGGTGACAGGCCAGGCCCTGGCTGGCATTAGCAGGGTCCTCACTGTCAGACCTGGTTGAGGGGTGGCAGGTGGAGTGTGGCCAAGGCGCTGTGCAGCACGTCCCTCACCGCACTCAGCAGCTGTAGCCGGGCCAGCATCGGGGGGAACAAATGAGGCAGCGGCTCCTGCAGAGAGAAGGCAGCAGTGAGGGCTGCAACTGTGGGACAGGCCCCCATGGCAGGGGCCATCGCCGGCCATAGGACTCACCCCCAGGACATGGACACGGTTGTAGTAGGAGCTGAAGTCCATGCTGAGCTGGACCAGGAACCTGCACACCTGCAAGATGTGGCACATTAGCCTGGGCCGCCAGCCCCAGAGTCTGCTCCTCGCCCTGCCTCCCACCAGCTCCTCTGCCCCTGCTGGAGGCAGCACCCGCCTCTCACCGCCTCAGTGTTGGCTGTGATGCGGATCCTGCTGCTCGAGAGGGGGAGCTGAGCTGCTTGCTGCAGGAGCTCAGGGAAGGGGAGGATGTGGTTGAAGAGCAGGAGCCACTCGCCCTGGCAGGGAGCAGAGATGGGGGTGAGCGTTGCCTTGCCCCCTTCTCAGCCCCTGGCTCCAAGCCTGGGAGGGAAGCCCCAAGTTTGGAGCAGACCCAACACTTCCCCGTGGCGCCAAGTGGCTGCAGCTGCCTCGCTCCAAGCCAGCAGCAGCCCCTGGGCTCTGCCCTCCACCTCCTGCTGTGCTGCCCAGGCCCTTTGAGGGAGCAGCCCCTCTGCCCTGCTCACCTCTTCCCGGAGGCAGGAGAAGTCCAGCTCTGGCGGTGGAGGCAAGGCTGGGTAGGTACCTGGAAGCAGAGGCCAGACTGGTCAGTGCCCGTGGCTGTGCAGACTTGGGGCCAAGGGTTTCCAGTCCCCGGTGCCTGATGCTGGCATCTCCACAGCCCAGCCTGCCAGAGCCGTGCTCCCACCCCTGCAGTCCTTCAACCGACCGTCTAGGTACAGAGCCCCAGCCTGGTCCCACCTGCCTCATCCACCCTGGCGGTGGCTGCCAGCACTTGCCCCCACCTTGCTCTACAGCCTGCTGGTACGTCTGGAAGAGTGTGGCCATCCGGGCGCAGTTGTACATCACAAAGGCCCCACTCCGGGTGCCCTTGGTGGAGATGCCACCATCAGCCAGGTCCAGCGTGATCTGTGGGGAGAGGCTGCCTGGTCCCCCACCTCCCTGCTCCCTTCTGCCCAGCTGGGCCTACCCCTGCTTCAGGGAGCCCTGGACCCCTGTGCCCTGGGGAAGGCCCTGCAATGTCACCCCCTCCACAGAGACCCTGGGCACATGGCCAGGGGGCACTGCGCTGCTGTCCTTGGGCATGAGGCAGCCTCACAGCTCTCACCTGGCTGCGGTGGGCTGTGCTCAGCATCTCAAAGCGGATGGCTGCGGAGGTCAGGACCCTGATGACCTCGGTCCAGGACTCGTCTGTGCGGAGGAGGGGGGCAGAGTAGGGACACTGCAGGTACCGACCTCTGCCTCCCCTGCACCGCCTGCTCCTGCAAGTGCCAGGCAGGGCCCTGAGGTGCTAGCAGCTCCTTTCCCCTGGTGGCAGGTGACACGTTACCATGGGCGAGGTCTCCGTACTTCATCACCGAGGCTTTGTGCAGCTGGCGCTGGCGCAGCCTGGGGAGATGAGTGCAGGTGAGAGCCCAGGCAGCCCTGCGGCTGTGACCACCGTCAGCAGCACCCATGGGTTGGCCGAGGCAATGACTGCAGCGCTGGGTGCCGCCCCTGGCAGAGCACAACAGCAGGCAGTGCTGGGGAGCCGGGAGCCGCGTGCGGGAAGGGAGCGACCAGTAGCAGACCCCCACTTACTGGTAGTACTGCGAGGCCCCTTCAGGGACTGAAGTGCTTGTAGCCTTCACTGGCCCACACACGAGGTGTTTCTGAAAGAGAGAGATCAGCCTGGGCTGGGGACAGCCGAGCCCCGGCCCCCTCGCTGGGGAGCACAGCAGGTCGAGCTCCCCCTCTGCCCTCAGGCGGGCACGAGGCCAGCGCTGCCCTCACCTGTGCGGCAGAGAGCGCCCCGGGCTCCAGCATCCTCCAGAGCAAGTCGGTTTTCTGCTGCTGGAGCTCCTCCTCGGCACTCACCACGTGCAGCACGGTGCAGGTGCCCCCCGGGGCCTCGGCCTGCGCACAGCATGAGGTGAGTGGGGACTGCTCCGCGTGCGCCCTGAGCCCTGCGGCGCCAGAGCTACTCACCATGCTGCGCTGGGCCGCGCACTCCAGCTCCGCCAGCGCTCGCAGCTCCTCCTCGGTCACTGGAGGGGGAGGGAAGAGCTCTGCAAGGGGCCTGCTCTCTCCATCGGTCTGCCCCACAGGCTGCTGCCTTGGGCTCCTGCCTCTGTGCAGCAGGGAGTGGCAGGGGGAGAAAGGGCGAATCCAGCCCCATGCTGTCGCTGGGCAAGGAAGCAGACCCTGCTGCTGCCCCGTGCCCACCCCCAGCAACGCTACCCAGGAGGACATCCAGGCCGGGGTCATAGCCCTGCAGGCCCTGCTGCTCTAGGAAGCTCCTCAGGCGCACAGCAAACAGCGTCCCGGCAGCCCCCGGGCCCTGCTCCCCCCCCACGGCGTGCGGGCACTGGCTGAGCACTCGCTTCCAGGCTGCCACGGCCTCAGGGGGGGACGGCGGTTCCGGCGCCCAGGGCCAGTCCACCCCCAGCTGGCGCAGGAGCTGGCAGACGCCATCCTCGGGGGCCGCTGGGACCAGGCACACGTTCACCCTGCGAGACCAACGCGGGCGCCAGGCCGTGAGCGCGGGGGCCAGGCCTGAGC